CTTTATAATTTTTTTTCACCGTAAGAACTTGGGGTTTATAGCTCACTTGGCCTCGTTGTAGATAGGTGGAAGTATGTGAACCCTGTTAATAGATTAGTCATCATAGCTAAAGGTTCTTATTCGGAGAAGTTAGAAAATGAAAAACACTTAAAATGTTGGAGAATGGCGAGAGGACCAAAACTATAAGTAGTAGTTCAAGAGTTTATATTGTTTAGCAAATGATTTCCTATACCTTCTATTGTCTCAAATAGATTTAAGAATTAAAATCAATATGTCTTATCTCATTTGATTTCGATTTTTCGATTGACCGCTAGAAAATAATTGGACGATCATCTCGTTTTGCTCTTTCCACGTCTTTAGCTTTGTCACAGTAGATTTCGTCGTCTTCAACTTATTACACTGTCACATCAATATGTCTTATCTCATTTGATTTTGATTTTTAGATTGACCGGCCGTATCTCTATGGAAAATAATTAGACGATCATCTCGTTTTGCTCTTTTCACGTCTTTAGCTTTGTCACAGTAGATTTCGTCGTCTCCAACTTATTACACTGTCACGAGGACAGCTTAAAGCTATACTGTGTTGCCTCGAACCAAAGATTCTTGCGAAGGTTTGCTGTAAACATGATCCGACCAGACTCGTTTAAAGTTCTAGACAAACTTGTCAATCTACTCCTATCGATTGTTCTAGACAAACTTGTCAATTTACTCATATCGATAGTTATAGACAAACTTGTCAATCTACTCATATCGATAAGCGCCTGCCTATCCTCTTGATATAGTGGGTATGTAGCTGACTACTTATTTATATCCTTGATGTACTTCTTGTTCTCTACAATTGTCCTCTCTATCTGGACTACTCGCAATTCAGAACCTACCTTGTATTGGTATTGCCTTGCCGTAGAATAATACAGAATAGCTTCCTCATGCTTACCCGTATCTAATGCCGTAGCGGCATTAGATTCTACACTCGTTATACGAGCTGTAAAGTGCTCATCTAGTCCGAAGCTCATAATGTAGAAGTCCTGATTGTTGCTGGCCATGTAGTCGCTTTTCACCTTCTTCACCAGATCTCGACGAACTCACAATTGGTGATGCCTTAGGCGATTGATGAGAAACTGGTAGCGGCGCTGGAGTACGCTCCTTTCTCGGTAAGTTAACAGATTTTTGTTCTGGCGCCGGGCGTTTAGTAACGCGAGGGATATTAATGGTACAATTATATATCCCAGTGTTCGATTCGTTTTCATCTTCATGTCTAACATGGTCATCGCCAAATCGTCGCCGTCGTAATCATCCTCTGATTATACAGTCTGCTTCCCTTCACAAGATTGCTCGCCTCTGGTATTCTTATTCTCGGCCTCCTGCTTACGTTGAAATTGCTGGTAGCGTCTTTTCACATCCTAGTTCTCTTCGTTGAACCCTTCCGACGCTTCTTTAACTCCTTTAACTCAGATGTAATCATTAAAAGGGTTTAGAATTTGTTTAGATATGAGACGCTTTGATCAGATCATACCTACACACATTCTACACATACCTCGTATAAGTGAGATGCTGAGATCTTTTGAAGAAGCCTTTGTCCTTTCAAAGATATACCTTACATAAGATCCTTAAAAGCAATCGTAGGTACATTTTATCAGCATGGAGGGAAAGCAAAATACGTTCAGAGAGCACCACTTGGGCTCCATATGGTTTCTGCAATCGTTCAACAGATCATGGAAGATCTATTTAAAGATATGCCTCAAATAAAGCTTTACTTGGATATATAACTATCTCAACAGCAAACCAGAAATTAAGACAAGTCTTGGCGCGTTTCAACGCTCAAAAATTCAAATTTAATGAAAATGTGTGAATGGGGAGTTGATAAGGTCCAAATACTTGGATACTTTATCGCAGGTGACGGTATAGAGATAGGCTAAGGTAAAGTGGATTAACTTCTAGACTGGACAATCCCTACAGCCTTTCCGGATTTGTAAACTTTAATATAGGTTGGATCCTTCACACATCGAATTTGTGAAAACCCTTTGGTCACATACGTTTACATAAAGATAAACTAGTAAAACCTGTCGACAGCTGAATATGAGGCGGGTTTACGTGAAGGGAAGACCGCCGTTCAAACTGCTCTAGTGATGGGTCGTACTACAACGAAAAACTTTCTAAGGTAGCTACCGATACATCCGATAAGGTTGCAGGCGGAGTACTATATCATATTATTGCGAACGAAGCTAGATATGTGCAGTTCTTTAGCAAGTATTTAATTTATTTACAGAGTATTTATTCTACTGCAAACCAGAAATTTTTCGCAACAACATCGGCTTGCCACTATAAAATGGCTTATGACCAAAGGTAGTTAGTATATTTTAGTGATATGAAACTACAATATCAAATAGTAAGTAGATGAAATGACCATCTACGTCAGTTCTCGTATACAATAGAACATATACCAGGTATGGATGTATGCATAACCGCTTACCGGGCATGCTAATACGTCTGCTACCAAAATACCAGAAATAGCCCAAGAATGTGCTAACCCACTTTGGAGTTAATTAGGCAATTGATCAATTTTATTAACAAATTGAACGCTAAAATCACTACATTTCGTCTTATACGGAAAAAAGATCTCTGGTTTAAAGAACAAGTGGATATGATAAAGGATGAACCAATTTGTTTAGAACGAGGTGTTCTTATTCTCCTGTATTGAGTACGTAGGCGATGAAGAAGATACCCTTTCTTCATACGATGGTGTCATACGATGGTGTGCCGTATAAACCCAAAAGAAACGTCTACTCGGAAATCTTCAATGTATTCCCAACTTAGGGTAGCTGAATCTACCATTCCCCATAAAAGATAGATAATAAAACGAATATGAAAATACAACAGCACAGAGAGATAACAAGTCTTTGAAGACTACGTAAACTTCACAAATAGTATTTGCGTCTACTTTGCCTGAGAGTAGAACAAAGGCCACAGCCGATCGCTTTCATATGAGTATGAAGGACGCGACCGAGGAAGTGCGTACTAGAATCACATCCTCCTTAAAAGTGGTATGCCTGAAGTTTATGATCAATATTATGAAGCTGGTTGACTGGAGTCAATCTTTAGTATGGGCGAGATTCTATTAGTCATAAGACTGATGATCCTAAAGAGGATAAAGTACAATGGAGGATATAGATAAATCTATCAACACGGAAGCTTCAGCTACATAGTCACCTTTGGTGGACCCTATATCGGTACAAGGGGAACTCTCTTTCTCTCTCATGAGCTTATAGTCAGGAGAAGTACAGACTCTCCGCAAACTTTAGATGTTGATATACTCAAGTGGATCAAACAATATGAAAAAATAAAGCATTCTGCAGTAGATGCAAAGGTTACAGTAGATGTCTGGTCAACCTTAATCTCTGAGAATTCTGGGAATAAGAGTATTTTAAGTGCGAATCTTGTGGAAGAACCCATATAAATCGATATGGGACACCACACAGGTCGGTGCTTAACGATTAACCATGTACAGGGTCATCATTGTTCTGGCTGCAACGAATTCAGTCGGACGACATGAAAAGTATGTCTTCCATATGTTTGATGTAGCCGCCAGAAATAACTCGTTCTATCCTGTAAGGAACAAACTACCCGAGACCTTGGCGGCAATATGCCTACGCAGCACAGCTACTCTACATGCTTATGCCATGATTGGCGGTGAGTTTTTATACATGAGCTTATGATACCTTAAAACCCTAAAACTCGTTTAAACTCGTAACAACTCGCATCTGGCGTATGTCAGAAACAGTGAGATCCCTTAAAGCCACAAACGCAAGGTGCTACACTTAGGACCACCTTAAAATACGATGTTGTCGATTGACCATATCGTTTGACATAGGTACAAGATCAGACGAATGAAATACCTGACCCTGTAACCAGCGCAATTTCGCCAGACTATTTCTGTGGCAGAAAGAGTGTGTTAGAACACTTTGTAGTAGGAGTGCCTGAAAAGGCTCATTCACGAATTTGGCGGAAAGAATAGACTGAGTGTATACCCTGTAAGTAAAGAAAAGCGGAGCATTGCCCTCGTAAAAGCTCAAGGTCGTTGGTCCAACAAGAAGAATCAAGTCTTCTTAAAAAAAGTGACTATGTTAACACAAAACAGAGAAACTTGGACACTGGCGAGTTAGTTCTTTAGTGGTCGTACTCTCGAGTGGTTCAAGAAGAACCAAGGCAACATAGCTCAATAGATACAAGATATATCAACTGGTATACAGAATGTTGGGAAAATCTGACGCCAATCAGGCAGACTAGAGCTACTTATTGGACAAGAGAAAAAATCTGTTCCCATATATATTAAGGAACTTGACGATTAGTTGAAGATGAATGTCTGCTTGAAGTTGATAAATAAAAATAGCTTGGTAGAGACTATAAAACTTGCAGAAATTGCAGACTAAAACACACAGAAGCCACGTGACGCACGTGGCAAGTCTGATGTCTCGAGTTAGGGCAGAGATGTGGGTGGCAGTAAATACAAGTGTAACAAGTGTAGAAAAGCTGACCATTTCGCTAAGGATGGTTTGTTTGACGGCGAGTGCAGAAAGCATGGCAAGAAAGAAGTTGATTAATAAAAATAGCTTGGTAGAGACTATGAAACTTGCAGAAATTGTAGACTCAAACAAACAGAAGCCACGTGACGCGCGTGACAGGTCTGATGTCTCGAATCAGGGCAGAGATGTGGGTGGCAGTAAAGACAAGTGTAACAAGTGTAGAAAAGCTGGCCATTTCGCTAAGGATGGTTCGTTTGACGGCGAGTGCAGAAAGCGTGGCAAGGAAGGCCATATGGTGGTAGTTTGTAAATAGGCACAACAAAATGGCCTGGATCGAACGACGACTGGGAGATAGCAAAGTAGTTTAGCGAGAAGAATTGACAATTGACAGTTGTAGTGTCGGCCATACCAGACAGGGGGGCTGAGGTAAAATTGTTGCCAAACGGCTGGGATGTATGTCCAAATCCGAAGGAAGAATATCTATCGGTAGCTGAAGTGAGCTTGCTTGATAAACTTGGTGGACATACTTGATTGCCGAATAGATTTGTTGAGCTCACGGTTGAGTTTACTCGTTGGCAAGGTATTGTGCGCATCTCTACTTGGGTGGCCATAGATACAAAATACTTGGGTGGCCATAGATACGAAATACTTGGGGTGGCCATAGATACCTGGGTCATCGCTGACAGTCAAAATGAGAACAGACCAAGTAATGAAATTCGAGGAAGACTTGGCATAGTGACCATCGTTGTCTCCCAGGAGCAAAAAGCCTTTTGTGGGTAATGAATGACTGCTGTAATGCAATATTTGGTGCAAGAAGTTTTATGGGTATATTGTGAACAGTCTACGAAAGGGGGGGCTGAGCGCAAGATTATGATACAAGATGATGCTAACTTACTTTTTTATATATTATGAGCGAAAAATATAATCAAAGAGAGAGAGAGAGAGAGAGAGAGAGACCACCAGTGCCACCACATTGATGTTCGAGCACTCCGTGGTCAAACTGTGAGAGCACATCGTGAGCAGCTAAGCTCGCGGTCGGCAGCCAAGACGACCGATCGGACCCAGTGTAGGTACCCTGAAGGAGAACTTGTACACTTTTGAATGGTTCCAGGCTATTGAACGATTCGAGTTGTATATTCAAACGAAGTCTGCGGGAGTGTGGGTCAAGTATTCGTCACAGCTCTTACTAATCTACAGAACTTCATAAAGTCGTGAGATCTATTCAAGTTAAATATTTAGGGCATCCGTCAGATCGTCAATGATGAATATCATGGATACGACAAGAACTTTGCACCGGTACTCCCTTGTGTAGGAGCTCTGGGACTCCTTACGAATTTACGAGACCTTTCGGTACCTTGAATCTTGGCGGGTCCCGAATGAAGGGTTTCCGGCAATTCATATTGGGGGTTGATTTCAGAGCCAAAGCCAAGGTTATTCGTATATAACGGGGCGATAACACCTGCTTAAAGTGTCTACGAATATACGTCGACGATAAGGCCATGGTACAATTCGGGAACATCCTAGTTTTGGAGTTTCTAGGTCCGTACCTTTCCTTTTCACTACGAGTGTTATAGTCAAAGAATTCATAGCCTAGGTTGTTAGTAGTATAAGGTTGTTTGGGTGCAGATGGAGATAGATCCGCTAGCGTCTCCTTTTGCTGCAAACGAGATAAGGCGGTGACGCATTTTTCCGATAGCACACGGTGTACAGAAGGTGGCGGTGTAGAAATACGGCCTCCAGTCAGTCTAAAATATCAAGATCAAAGGAGATAACACATTGGTTTTTATTTGTATTTATAATTTTTTTTCTCTCCAATATTTCCAAAGCGTTCTATATTCACTTTTTTGATGGCCCCTATAGCCTGTGAAACTGCTATGACTTTTAGGGTTTTACACGGGCGGGCGTACACCCGACCATGTAGCCCTCCGCCAACGCTGTGACGACATCAGGAAGAACTCAAAAAAACGTTGGTCCAACAAGGAGATCGCGGCAATGGCCCGGCGCCAATACTACTACCAACTGGTTATGGGTAAA